ATTGGAAATACCTTTCTCTACATCCACATCCTTCGTGCTAAGCAATGCATGCAAAAAAAGCCTGAACCACACATGGCATGCATCACTGCATGCCACCACTACTTATTTTGATAGATCCTTTTGGTGTATTGTGCGGTTACAAACCGAACTGAGCAGGAATGGAATTAAGACAACACTGCCATATAAACATTACTGTTTGTTAATCTAGTGTACCCTTCAATGGTTCAAAAAAATGACTCAGTATGCATAAATGGTTCTTTCCTTGCCTTTGCTTGAACGTCGTGTGCTAGTTAGAATCACTACGTACTCAGCTTGTGCTTTGAGATAGCAGATGGATTCTGTTTTTGAATATACAGATTTGCCCGAGCCATCAAAGTTTCATATTAAAACAGGCAATTTATTAATAAAACTAAAGCACTCTGACAAAAGAAAAAGGAGAGTTCAGAGTTATTAGTAGAGTTTCACTGAGAGGCAGGCTCAGTATATCTTGCAATAAAAGTATCTATTGGTAGCAACAAGCATTCAAGGCATATAGCCAAACAAGTCAATGGCTGAACTTCCAGTTCACTAAGGAACAGACACCTACAGCCATGAACAGCTTCCATAAACCCCTGCATCTCACTATGCTCCCCATCTCCTCTTGGAGTTATCACTCAACGGCAGGCCGTAAATTTATCTTGGGGCCACTCTGTTTCCAAGGGTTTCAGAACAAAGAGAAAAAGAAACAACTCCAAGAGGTTCATCCCCTACATCAGCCACCTATCAAGCCTGTGGTCAGTCTGGCAGGAAAAAGAAGTATAGATGTGAGAGGGAGACACAATTGCTGGCCACTGTGGGGAAAGGAAAGGGAAGAGAAAAGCCATTAGCTTTTGGACTCACTCTGGGTTTATAAGCCTATATTTGAATATGCAGATGACAGAACAAGGAGTAATGGTCTCAAGTTGCAGTGGGGGAGATTTAGGTTGGATATTAGGAAAAAGTTTTTCACTATGAGGGTGGTAAAACACTGGAATGCATTACCTAGGGAGGTGGTGGAATCTCCTTCCCTAGAAGTTTTTAAGGTCAGGCTTGACAAAGCCCTGGCTGGGATGATTTAATTGGGGATTGGTCCTGCTTTGAGCAGCAGGTTGGACTAGATGACCTCCTGAGGTCCCTTCCAACCCTGATATTCTATGATTCTATGTGGGGATGAGAACCTCAGTGAAGAGTCCCACATGACTCACTCACATGGGGGAAAGAATTAGGAGCTCCCATCTAGAAGCCACTCACAGGAGCGTCCATCTCAGGGACCACTGCACTCTTTAGATCTTCAGCCACAGACCAGCCCCCTAACAACCTGGTTCTCTTTCTTTTGGATATATTCTTAAGTCAGACATCAAAGAATCTCTCTTCTGCAATGCGGGACTAGGCACTCAGTCTATGGTGACGATCCAGTCAACATCTTGACATCAACTATACGTGTCCTATGCCAACGAAACATGACCTCTATAGAGTCAAGATAAAGAACAATTAATGATTCACATAAATAGGATGAAAAAGGGCACTGATCTGCCAATTCAGAGAGAGAATCTTCTGAAGTGCCTAAATTATTTAGGAGTACAAGTCCCATTGACTTTGAGTCAGACTCCTAAGTCACTTTTGAAAATAGCACATAAGTATTTTTGAAAAACTTAAATCATCAGCTTTTAAGATGAGTAATGACGTAGATGGTTAGATTTCTTCAAATTTTCTTGCTGAATATTTCATCTGAATTTTGGATCCATACCATAATCGTGATCAAAAACCACTGAACAATCCAACCACTGAAAAAAAAAAATCAGTGAATATCTAATTTCAACAAAACAGAAATCGTTTGTTGGAGAGCGACCAGTGACTAAGAAATGTAACTGAGCAACAGCATTTATTTCAACTCCTGTATTCGAAGCCCTGAAATGATAAGGGTATTACTAGCCACCACCCAACAGGAAAAAATAATGGTGTTCTTTCTCGTGAGTTACTGCAACACCCTCCACACCTCTTGGTTTGTTTTTTGTTAGCAGGTGAGAAAGTTCTGCAAGACAAATGTTGACGCAGTCAATAAGTGCTTCCTGTCAGTTTCCACTTCTCTGGTGGTGGTCACGCCTCTGAGCTGCACACGCTCATACAAGCCCTAAATGAGAATTTCTCCATCCTTTGTTAGAGACAACGTGGGTGAGGTAATAACTTTCATTGGACCAACTTCCTTTGTTGAAAGAGACAAGCTTTCAAGCTACACAGAGCTCTTCTTCAGCTACTGTGACACTTTGAGTACCTTTCCGAGACCTGGAGAAAAGCTCTGTGTAAGCACAAAGCTTGCCTCTTTCTCCAAGAGAAGCTGGTCCAATAAAAATTACCTCCCTCACTTCTCTCTCTCTCTCTAATATCCTGGCTCCAACATGGTGACACCACCACCCTATCCTTTGTTTTCCTTTTAAAAGGACAGCAATATTCCAGACACATAAACCTCACAAGAATAAACATCTACTAAGGACACCATTTTTCCCATTTCTCTGTTTTTTCTCAACCATCTTTGAGCTGGGGTGGGGATAAGTGTCCAGTTAAATCATTTTAGGGGAAGTCAGCCAGCATGTAAAACACAGCTTGGCAAGATGGAGCCACTACAAGTCACTATTTATGTGAATGAACCTTTCGTAGCTGGTATACATGACCCTATAATGGATTTATCAACATGTTCTTCATGGAATAGGACAACAGCTCTGGGGCAGGATATGCCATCATGTAAAAGACTGAAAGCTCCCCAACTCAGCTTCTGTAATGCAAGAAGTTTTAACTCCCTGGCAACAGCATCCCCAGACTCCTTCTCTTAGATTCCAATCAAACCATCTTAAATTTTTGAAAACCGAGCGCCGAGTAACATTTTGACAGATCATTTCACGTCTAGCATGTGTAGCTGTCAACCCTTTTCTACACTACGGTTTCAGGTCACAGCTGATAATATGATTTGATCTTTCAGAACACATTTAGCTTAGCGGAGAGACAGAAAATATTAGTTCTTCACCAGATTTTTCTGTTTCATCCAGAAAGACATCTGAGTTTTCTGCTTTCAATTGCTGTATGCGGAATTTAGCACAAGGAGAAAGAGCTTTCAAAGTAAGGAATGGCGGGGTGGGGGGGGGACATTGGTTTAGCGTTGGAAAATTCATTTTTGTAGATTTTGTAATGAAACAGGAGATCTCATTGCAAGTCTCAGCCAAATCCCACAAGTCAGAGAGCTGGTTTTTCTCCTAGGTGTTTCCTGGAATGGCCATGATGGTGAAAATGCAGGTGCAATGTCATAATACACAAATATTCAGAAATATCCAGCAGAACCATACTGTTCCCCCACCATCAGAGGGCACTGAGAAAAGAAACGTTGGGTAAGAACTCCTGAAGAGCTGTCGGTGACTTATATAAAATGGAGATGCTGGAAAGCCCCATATAGTCTATCCATTTCTCTGCCTTAGCCAATGTTTGATTGTTCCCTTCAGTATATCATCTAGGGTTTCATTCAGCTTAGTTTTAAATCTTCTCAGGCAATGAGACTTCAACTAAATGCCTTATTGTCAAACTGACTTTAGACTTGAGTTAAAGGAAGCCAAAATAGTTAAGAGCAATCGTTTAGTTAAAACCTTGTCCTTTCAACACCTCACCTCTTTAGAGCCAAACAGGGCCCTAGGAGCTGAAGCGAAATCCAAAGAAGAGAGGGCTCTGCCTAGAAAGCAAAGCCCGGCATGCAAGAGGAAGACAACACTCAGACAACGGGAGTTATCAGAAGGGAGTGAAACCTCTTGCGGGTAATGGATAGAGGCAATCCCACACACCCCACTGCCCTGCTCTGACCTGGGTAACTTAAAAAAAAAGAAGCAGCCTGTATTGTCTTGGAAAAACATTTCTCCGTGCTCCAGGACAATACTTGAATGATGCACAAGACACATGGGCAACATTTCCCAATAGGGACCAAGAGTAAACTTGTAGTTCCCCCGCTGAGCCATTTCATAGATGGTCGTCCGGTCACTTCATCTCCACCTCGTGAGTAGGGTAACCAGGGCATCCAAGCTCCCATTTATTCTTTGGCTTGGCAGAACTCAATATTTTTTAATAATATTGATGGATAATATCAATGTTTATTTTAAATATTTTTAAAATTTTTTGTCTATTTAAATTTCAACAATTGTGGGAAATTAGGGGGGGGATCAGACAATAATTATTTAATGACAGTAGACACTGAGATTCAAACAATTAAAGCTTTATAAGCCAGCTGTTTTAGCCGAAGTGTAAAACCTGCTTTAGGCAGCATTCATTACAACGTGTTTTGTACACATTCAAGTGGGACTCTAGTAAGTTCTCCGCAGGATTTCTTACTTTGCCTATTTCTTAATTTTGATTACCACCACGGGGAATTTTTATTTATTTATTTATTTATTTATGTTTTGCTCGTTTGTGCGTGTGCATGTGCAGTGAAATCAACATTTACTGGAAAAAAAACGAATCCTTTCAATCCTATGTATTCTGCACAGTCTTATACAGAAGTTTGATCATCCTTAAGAAATAGGGCTCCTGTCCCCCCACTTTACAAGGATCACCTCTTAGAAACTGAATGGGAAAAGACAAAGGGGGCCAAAAAGATGTTCACCCTCTTCCCCCAAGCCTGGGAACACTCTCTTTTCTCTTGGTAGAAAGAACTCTGATTTTGGTTTTTGGTAAACGAGGGCTTTTGGGAACAGCTCTGAGAGTTAAGAAAGATTGTTTTACAAGGAAAAAATCTTGCTGTATCAACCTGTGTGTGAACCTGGGGAGAGAGGGTATGATCTGCTATCTCCAGTTGGAGCTAACAGACAGGTGAACACCACACAAATGTATCATTTATTCCTCTGTCTGGCTCTCTCCAGGATTTCTGGAAAGTTTTGCCTGCTCGACCGGGTGTCACTGTGCAGACCAACTACGTTTTTTGGGGATGTGTTTAAAAAAAAAAGTCAACATACCGGTGTGTGTCTGTCTGTGCGCCTCCAGGGCATCTTCTTTAGAGAACTGTGCACCACATTGATCACAGACAAACGCTTTGGCACCCGCTAGAGAGGGAAAAAAAAATAAAGAGCATATTATGAAGATACCCAGGCACAATATACGTCTTCAGATGATCCAACAGAAATACAATCTGTAAACATTTTTGTCAGAGACGATATTGCAACAGGGACCATTTAACGTACAGCAGGAAGGAAAGACAGACACAGACAACTTTAAGGTAAGAGTCTCTGTGCCAAGTAAAACATTGTCAGACTCTTCAAAACACCGCAATTAATGTGGATTTTGTTTGTAATAAGTCAAACCAGAACAAGTTAAACAAGTCTGTATCCAACATTGCTAACTAAAGCAGTATTCCAATCAGTATTTGATAATGCAATACAAATTATCCATGCTTGGAGGACAGGATAGAGCAATTCTCTATGGCATCACTTTGTGCTGTCGTGAAAGTGATACAAATGCGGATCATTCCCAAAAAGGGAGGAAATGTTCTACTGAATGGGTCAGTGAAAGATCAAATATTTTACACCTAGTAAGATAACCCATAGATCCCAATTTATCCAGGAGCAGTGGGTCTTTTGCAGCACCAAAAGAAAAAACACAACACAACAAAACATACGGTTGTAGTAGCTTAGAAGAACAGCCTAATAATAAAATACACTATTAATATTACATTGCTCTTTACAATCAAAGAGCTGCTTTCCAACAAATTAGATATTTGTTTAAAAAAATCATTAGACATCAGTGACTTTCACCAGAGTTGTAACTGATCTAATTTTAATTGGTTTTCCTGCACTCTCTGCCAATTGTAGCAGTTATTACCAGTATCTAAAGAGGAGAGGAAAGAAAGAAAGTAGAACCATCTGATAAGAAACGTGGCAGAAACAACACAATTTAGTGAAAGGCACAGATATTTCTGTGACTATTAGAGAGATGTGGTATTTGTGGGAATTCTTAGAAAATTGCTATCAACATGCACTGCATATAGTGGGTCAGAGGCTCTAGTTATAATGAGAAAAAAACAGGATGTCTAACAGCAGATAAGTAACTTACAGATAAAAATAGATTAACAATATACACAATCTTCTAAGCATATGCTGCCAGGAAAAAGCTGTGAATGCATTTGTTAGATTTTGAAGTTTGATACATCTGCTGTAAGAAAACTAAATAATGATTAGAGTATGACAGGGTAATCTTCAAACTGGTATGATGTGGGGAAAAAACGCCAGCTACCTCACTTGTCATTTAGACCTTAGCTACATAGCTTCCCCTGCTACATTTGAAAGTGTTCCCATCATAAGATACCAAAATGCTACGTGGCTTATTTCCAGGAATTCAGATGGCACTTCTCATCCTCATCCCATCCCTCCAAATTTAATACGAAGAAAAGTACTTCGCTGCCCCCCTCAAAAATACAGGGCTTTAGAGAAAGGTGCAGACAAAACAGGTAGAGAAAGACAGAGGTGCCGTGAGATCCATTAAAGAGAGAATTCCTTTGCCTTTAAATTGCCTTAGTAACGGCTGGCTCACGGGCAGAAATATTTGGCAGCAGTGAAATTAAAAGTGATAAATTTTCTCGCCAAGCTTTGATCGATAATAGAGGTCTCATCTGTTAATCAATAAGACAGTCTGCCTGTTTACTGTGCATATGTTGTTCTCTGCTGCCTTCGGTATGATGTCAAGTTTGCATTCAAAACAACTCAACTGTGCATAAACCACATGGCTGTTCCCTTAAAAAAAACAAAACAAAACAAAACAAAAAAAAACCCACTCCAGTGACATCATATGGCCGGTTACACATTTAAAAAGACATTAATGGAAACTTGCTTCTTTCAGCTACATGTAATTTTTTTTAAGTGTATATATTTTTATTCAGGCAGATTATTTCTTAAGAGCTTCTTTATGGGATAGGACCTGAATACAATATGGATGTGGCCAACTTGACTTGCAGCCAAGCTTACGCTACCCTAGTTCAAAGAGGAAGGAGATAAAGAGAACAAGCAAGGATAGGATGCCAGCTGCCTCTTTCCTCCACTAACAAAGTACTGCTTTAATAACAAACACAGCTCTATTACCAACATAATTAGAAAGGTCAGTTCTATTACAGTCTGTCATTCCAGAGATTACTCAGAGAATGTTTTGTTCCTGGATCATTGACCCAAAAGGCCAGTACAGTCCCTATTGGTACTGCACATGCACCCAATAGCCAAAGGCTGACATCTCTGAGACTTGGAATAGAACAATCTGATTGCAGACAAATGCCAGCTCGTTCTCAAGCCATTTACTTTTCCTAAAACAGCAACAAAAAAGCGTGTAGTCCACATTTAACCCCAAGCATATGCTAATTTGTGGCAGGTCTTGTTTTGTTTTTAAAGAAGATGCACTTTGGGGTTCCTGCACATCAAATACAGCAGGTCTGAAATGACTCACTTCTGTGCTTGCTCTCCTCTTCTGGTTGGCCACATTGCATTAGAAGCAGCAATATGTGACTGGAGGAAGAATGCTAACAAGTTTGGGGCAGTCTGAGACAACTTCCTGCCTTTCCTAGAAAATGGATAAAATGATACATGCAGTGGGCAGAAAGCCAGTTTGAGCGGATGGCATGCCAAAAATGAAAACATGTAGGCAGATGTATAGCAGGGCTTTAATAGCCTGATTCTAAGAGGGGCTCAAAACCCCAGACAGCCACTCAACTCAATGGTAGTTCAGGAGTGCTCAGCAACTCTGAAAATCAGGCCATTAATTATATTAGATATAATAGTTTGCCCTGGCTTATAAATACAGACATGCATTATTAGCATTGCAGCCCTGCCTTCCAGCTTCAATCAAGGGCAGTATCAGTTTAGTATTGGCTACCTCCATTGGAGGATTATATCCTGAACTCGAAGGGAAGGACATACTCTTTGGTCTAATAGATGCTTTCAGTCTCTAACTTCCTAGGAGCCTATGATATACAGAACACCTTGTTAAGTTTCTGTGCTGTGCTTTATTAAAATAAAAGCAGCTTTGATAAGCACTTGCACTGCACTGTCCAGGTTTAAATTAATACAGCCTAGTTCTATAAACTTTTCGAAAAGCAGTTGGTGAACAATGGATAGGCCAAGGTATCCTGAAGTATGAAGCCACTGAACAATGTGCAAGGAAAGCACATAATGTATAGCAAACAGTCACTGGGGCAACAAAAGTGCACAGATGCTTCAAACTCCTTCAAACCCCCAATGGGAGGCACTACCCCGGAAGTTACATCAACCCGATACAGCAGCAAGTTTCAATAACGTACCACATCAGCTAAGGCAACACAGAAAATAGGTCATCACTTAAACACCTTCAGGTTGTTTTCCACTTGTCCTGGATACCATTAAGACCTGGATGTTTACTGCTCATGGCTGTGAACCTGCTTATTTGCAGCATTCCCTGACCCAAGTATAGCAGTGTTGTCTCTTTTGCCCATGTGGAAGATGAAGTTCCCTGATTGGGTAGGTTCTTCTTTAGTCTCAAGATGTTCATCAAGGGTCAGGAGTAGGTGGGTCAGGACACTGTATGTACCAAAGAAATCTGCCAAAGAAATCTGAACGGGGACTGACCGCTACAATGCTGTATGACCAGGACACAAACAAACCCACAAGGCTGTGATGCTACTGAAGCCTGACTGCAGAGTCTTGTTGGGCTGGAGAAGCAAACAAGCCAACCGCCTCCACCTCATCTTCAAAGGAGATATAACCATCAAGACAAGATGGGAGACAGACAACAGTAGAAAATCTTATTCATTTTTCCAGGCTCAATAGGCAGTTTTTGCAAAGCAACGGAAAAATGCTGCCCCTCTGGGAGAAGTTGGCTCATGTGCTTTGATATGCCTGGGACAGAACTACTGCTAACCCCCATATGCCACCCCAAAACCCACAAACAAAAATTGAGAGATGCAACTCGAATGAGAAAGGGAGGGAAAAAAATCTCAAAGACTAATATTATAAATGCAAAACAAGAAAATAAAGAGCTTGCCAGCATCTAATGGAGGGTTTGAAAAATTCCTTGAGATTTTAAAATAAACATCTTGAATGTTCTGATGAGATATGCATGCTTGGTTACATAAGGAAGTACAGAGTGTACCAAAACAGCATACCCCAAAAAAGCATAAGCTGTCAGAACAATAAGTACAGACATAGGGCATTTTACAACAGGCTATGCTGTACAGTTTTATTTACAGTACCTCTTATCAGTCAGGGAACAGTACACTGCCTGCCAATTTCAAAAGGCCAGTACTGTGTGTTCTTTCACTCAAGTAGATGTGTACTCCAGGCAGGGAATTTTTTTTAATCAACAAAACAAAAATTGATGCAGAGCCAGAATTCCTGTAATGTACACATGCTTGGGCGGGGGAAGGGGGCAGAGAGAAGAGAATGCAGTGATTGAGCATGTAAATAGTTCAAGGTTAATTTTAATACGTGAGTCACCAGGAAAAATGTCATCCAACATCTGAGCTTATTATAACAGGGTTTTAAAAAAATGGAGATATTTATTAAAGAGAGCTCTGGAGAGGTCATGATTGAGAGCAATACATCAAAAAGGTTCTGGTGTTACTTAAGAAAACACCTAGAGAAACTATTAGTCCATTGAAATGTAAATATTGTTTGGGGTATTTTTAGTAAGGGGTTTGCATTGCCTACAGTATATATCTTCAGATGATCTACCCAACGGGATGGAACTTTGCATGCTGCCAAGGGTCAGCTGTGATGGAGAGCATGCCTTGTAACTGGCACAGAAGTCTCAGAGGCTTACATTTATATTTGTACAAGTAAATTTATAGCCCCTGCCTAATAAAGGTCTGTGCTGCAAAGGACTGGCATAAACATACAATGGAGCGGCTGCTTTTTCCATTCAGCAGGATTCTGCATAGTCACTGCTGTCCCCTAGACTGGCTGCAAATCTCCATACTCCTCACCCTCTCATTCAGCATTATTCCGTCACCCTGAACGTAAGAAACAGCTATAGCCCCTTCTCCACAGCCCCAGAGACACTAATTGTACCTCCCCAAAACAACCCCCTGTGG